TACGAAATAAAATGATAATCATCAATATTGAGGTAAACTGATAGACCCTCCATTTTAGCGTTTTATGAGTAAAATATAAACTAGGCTGTTAGTTCTACAATACTACTGTGCGTAAAATTTACTTCTATCGCCGATATACTAAAAAAAACGAAACTGGAAAGGAAGCAAAGAAAACGAAGTACGTTAAGAGGCTGATAAATTAAATAAAAACTATGCGAAAATGTGCAGAGCAAAAAATAGATAAGATATAGAATTGGTATTTGCATGAATGTGAATTACTCGCCGAGCTCTTTGCTGGGAAAAAAAGCAGTCACATTTTTGTTACGTCCAGCCGCGTTGAAGAATTTGCAAAACTAGTCTTGCAGTGGACGGCCGCCAAGGCAGTACACATGAAAATTTCAGGTTGAAAAAAGAAGAAATGAATGGGGAGTCGAGACTTCATTGTCTTGTAACTTAGACTAAGAGCTCCCTTGCTCAAATTAACTCAATGGTAGCTACTTAAGAGCCATGAACCGCAGAGAGTGATGGACTGTAAAAAAGGCTGCCCCACCCTCTAAACAAAAATTAAGGTGTCATTTTCAACAGCGAAAATATGATCAACTTACGATTTGGTAGAAAACATAACGATGCAGGAAAATAACGACATACAACACAACGTACCCTCTCAGGAATCTTCCACCATTCGGGCTATTGACTTCTATAACGTTAAAAGAGCATGGCATTCTTATTTAAGTTCCGTACGTAGCGGCAAGCGGAAATGGGCCCTATATCGCATACTTAAACTGTTTCTCGTTTATGAAAATAAACTGCGTTAATAACGACAACGTCAAACATGAAAATTGGCAAATGTTTCCAATCACCCATTAACAATCTCCCGCGGGGAGATGAGAGGATGAAATCAAGGACCGTTTATATAATTGGCTTGACAATATTTACGCACCTGTTCCAGATGGCAAGAGAATAACACTTAAATTTATTTGTCAAACATCGTGGACTTCACCAACGAGGGCATTAAAACGTGAAATTGAAAACAACGCGTATTCTTAAATATTTGGAATACTTTCAAGTTGTGGCGCGTCACTGGTTTGATTAAGTTTTTATGTTGGTGGGAGGCTAATGCCAATTCGCCCCTTCACAAGGAAGCTTGATGTTTATTTTTTTAATCTAAGAAATATAGTTTTTAATTTTTGGTTAACCCATATTTCCTGCCTTAATGGCCTACTCTAAAAATACAAAAACAGTTGGGAAAGTACTGGCAAAATCTTATTTCTTCTAAGTTCAAGACTAGGTTCTATTCTTCGAATGCTTTACATCAGGTCGAAGTATCTAGGAATTTCGAAGGAAAAAGAGTTTACCTTCAGAAAAACTCGATAACATACAAGGACCATTTTCTATATTGTATTGACTAGGACAAAAAGTGTCTTGATGCGGCTATATTACCTACATGGCGAAAAAAATAAATAAATAAATAAATAGAACGTGTTGGAAATTAATTCCAATATGCTCTTCGGGGAACAACAACGAAATCATTTATCCACGCGTTACATTTTACAACAAGTCTACCAACTCATCCATGAAATTAAGAAATAAAATAAATGTAGGTAATGAAAAGAAAAGTAACGTGAAAAGAAATGGCGAGGTTTACTTCCTTGAGTTTCCATTAAAAATAGTTATTTCATTCCGGGTTCTAACAATAAATATTTATTGAATAATTTTATAACATGTTCTATATTGTGCCGACAAAATATTCAGCCATACTCATTTTGTTCTTTCTTCGTCAATCTGTTATCTGAACAATTCTGGAATTAAACCGTTTTCCGCAGCTCAAGTTACCGTATCCTGAGTACATGATGACCACCTGAAGCTTGCGAAAGGGCAGTATTACTTATGAATCAACCTCTTTAACAAATGGAAAGAAAAAGAAGGCGGATTTTAAGAAAAAAACACAATCCACGTACATAGAAAGTGTAGCCTTCGGCGTCGTACATCAGAATTGCCGTACAGACATTTCAACTTTACGTACGTAAAAGTTTGCTCCTAATACCATGTTTTTGTATTGTTCTGTCTTTTTTCGGCTACCCCTGCCATAAATCCAGCAAGGGTAAAAAATGTGTGTTTTTAAGTATCTGAATGAGGACGTTTCATTAAAAGTTGTTTTTTAATGAAACCAGCTTATTGAGTTTCATCCTTCAAACATGGTACCAAGTATCTTCCCGCCTATCTCCCGATTTAATAACTTACCGTAGTTAATTTGTGGGTATGTTTAGTTTTTAACTGAAAAGAAAAAATAGAAACTTCCATTTTGATCGTTTAGATGAAGCAAGTAAAAGATTGGCTCATATTCTAGAGGCTTTTACAGCCACGGCAAAACACTAACCGACTCGCAGAAACAATTAAAATTCCAGGGGCCAAACAAGCAGTCTACGTAAGATGTTCCTTTCTATTTCTCAAAAAAAAGAAAACATACCACCAAAGATTTTTTTTTATTTTTCTAGAAGTGTTACATTGTAACGTCCTTCAATGCCATTTTTTTTTCAGAAAAATTTCACAGGCTCTTTTTTACACTTGTTTAACTTTAACTTCTCGGCCGGCTCTTTCCGGAATGGATCCCGTATCAAAGTATCATTTGTTGAATTAAGAAAGATCTTATCGTTCAGATGAAAGTTATTTTACTCTGACGTTCGTCTTTCATTGACAATGCACTCTGAGATTAAGAATCACGTTCGCGACAATACGGCAAACGGCACTTTCAAGTTAACCATGAGCAGATACAGAAATAGTTCTTACGGATAAAAATGGCGTAAACTGCATATTTTCGAGCAGGCAACAGTAAACAACAAGTAAAGGGAAAACTTTATCACGTGATACAAATTCACGTTTTCCTTTTCTCACATTAAGCGTGCAACTCTCCACATTTTTAGCAACATTCTAGAAAGACGAATTTACTGCAAAATACAGATTGTGTTTAAAAGAGAAATGTTTTGTACTGTAAATTAATGACGTACCGGAAGACGGAATAGTGTTTGCCAAAAAAAAATAAACAGTTCTATTTCAGCCAGGAGCCTATCACCTGATTTTAACTTTACAATTTTAGACATATAAATGGGAAAAAAAATGAAAAACTGAGTTGCTTCATCATAAAAAACTCTTTCCATTTTAAAAGTTTCAGCAAATGCGTGTTTTGTTTTCACGAGCCCCTTTCATTCATCCGTGTTCTTTTTTTTTTTTTACATACTTTCCAGAAAAATAATAATCAATAAAATGAGTCATTGAGTCGGCAAAATATCATTGCTTTTGTAACGCACGGTCAGTTCGACAAGCAAAAGAAAGAAAGCTCCTGTCTTTTGTAAGCTAAACTTCTGGAAAAAGGATTATTAGTCCAAATATCGTATAAACGTCCAAAGAGAACCAAAGTCTAGTCTTATTATAATTGTTATACCATTTTCATGTCATTTTATCATTAGTCCTCCGTATCACCCGAAAAGCAGAACGAAAATTATACAGACGGTCTCAAATCAACTCAGCCGAGGACGACTATCTCACTAACCTATTCCTTATCGTTCCGACCAGCTTTTCATAGCTTTTTTCCTCCCGCCGACGTGTAATTTTACATCGATGTGGAAGATCGAAGAAACAACTGCCAATTCCAAGTTTATTCACTAACTTTGAAGGGCGCTATTTACATATTAATTATATTCAGCTCTAACCGCAAAGACATATAGTTATGGCACAAGAATTTCGAAACGTTTGAAACAAAGGTTAAATTGTATTTGGCCGATCATTACAAAGTTCAAAGTTTTGAAAACAAATTAGAAATGTTTTGTAAACTTAAAGTTTATCGCGATTGTCATAGCTCAGCAATCTTCTGGAATACTTTAGTTTTTTAAGTCACTCAGATTGTTAATGATAACGATATATTGATCAGAAGGAAAAATGATTCAAGTTTAAAAACTTTCAAACTGCCTTTCCTTTAATATTGAGAAGTAAAACTTCATAATGAAGAAATGCGGTTATTTTCTGTGCAATAAAAGTCATATGAAAAAATAGATAATCAAATCTGTTTCTAATAACGGGAAACGCTGGATATGGGCTTTGAAGAGAATTGACAAAGGGGATCAGCATGCGAACACAAGCTGCTACTTTTTACCGTCAAAATATTGGATATATATTTTATAGCTACGCCCAAAGTAAAAATACCTCTGTCAGCTCCTTGCTTTCAATTTAACGAAATTAAAAGGGTAACAGCAACAAAAATTAAAACAAAATGAAAATCGGTTAAATCCCATTAGAAGAGAAGAAGAAAGGTCGAGGACGATTATATATAAATGATAACTTGAAAATAAAAACTACATGATAAAGATTTGTAGACTTAACTTATTAGCGTGGTCTCTCTTACCGTCAAGCTATATAGAAAAGAAAGCAGCAAACTTGTGAAGGGCTTTTTTTGTAAATCAGTCAGTTGTCCGTAAATGAAACACTGTAGCTCAACTCACGGCCTCGTCACGGACAGCGTGCACCGTCTTTATCCTAGCGCCAGTTATGAATTCACGGGCGTTTTTTGCTCCTAAAGGCGATACCTCTAGGCGATACAGACGCGCATTCAACGTATGCGTCAAATTGTTTTAAAGGTGTTGATTTTCTTTTCGGCTTTAATTCATTTTATCCAGGACGTCCCTTTTATAACAATGCCTTGTAGGTCCACTTAGTAGAAAGGTGTTATCTACTCCACTTAACGGTTCCAATTTGATAACGATGCGTTGACATTGCTTTGTGAATGGATGGTTTATGAGGAAAAACAAAAAGGCCAATTTGCTTAAGAGCTTTCTCCCACTCAATTTTCCTTTTTTTTCAATTTAGACAAGTGAAACCTTTTTCTGTTTGGTATCAGCTGCTTTGTTTAAAATCCCCACCTGTTTGGCATTTAAGTGTGATCTTTACCCGTAATCCTGCTCTTAAATCCACGTAGTAAAAACATTTAAAAGGACAAGGAACTGAGTACTAGAAAGGACTGTACTTTTCAATGATTTTCTTTTCCATTCCCCAGCTTCGTCCGTTTGAACTAACAAAAAAATTGCAATGATGCCAAACCTTCCGGCCACTCGAGTGTCCCGCCGGATTGTGACGTCACACGATCAAAAATGGCGGCTTACGATGCTTAAAGTGCTACTATGATCAATTAATTTCACCGTCTTTAAGAAATGTCGTTGCGCTAGAATGGACTTTGAACGTTCAGAAAGCGATAGCTAGCTAGACAGGATAGTAATGACTATATCTCATGGTAGCAAACTAAAGACATTAATTTCATCTTTAAATTGTGATTAGAAATACAACAAGCTTTTAATAACATTTCTAGAAAATTTATGACTTATAATCGATGCTCAAACCACAGACAACTCAGTTCTTTACAAGGGGCTACTACGTCGTACAAAACTGACAAAATTAACAAGGAATCAAAATCGCCCCAAAAGAAATGTCAAGCTTCAGACATTTTTCCATATGAAGGAAGTAATTAGCTCCAATTTTCCATGCTTTTAAAAGAAAAATGAGATGGGCCTATTTAAACTATTAAAAGCTAGATTTTACATGCCATTATCAGATTATCCTAAACTGACCAAGAAGCATCCAAGACAGCGCAGGTAAAACAACAAGAAAAAAGTTCAATTCTTTGTGGTTTCTGCACCATTACGACGTGAAATTTCTTAACTTTACGTTCTATGAAGAA